TTTTTTACTGACCTGTTCCAAAGCTCTCCTCGCCACACAGCGACAGCTTATTGGCGTCCATCAAGTTCCCGAAGAATTTCCACCCGGTCGGCGTCTCGTATAAGGTGATCTTTGTAGCTTTTGCCACCCTTAAAAATAAAACAGAAAAGATTGCAATAAAAACACCGGATTAGAGTTTTCACACTTCACTTGATGGTGTAAGAGAACCCCGGCGCTACAAAAGGATCCAAATTTTTTTTTTTACTTTATATAATTTCATTGAAAGAGTCGGACTCGCAGCCCTTCACAAGACGCAATAAACACGTCCACTTTTTAAACTTTTATGGAGTTGCACATCCAAGGGGCCGAGCGGCTGCAGGGATTTTTTTGTTTGCAGCCCGTTGCCAAGAGAGACCCGGGAGACGGGGTGTAAAAAGGAGAGTGAAGTTTATTTTATGCTTTTAATCTAGATTTTAATATTTTATGGAATGCACTTTGCTGACATCATGTGTTTTTAGTGGCTGGAAATACATTGTTTAATTTATATGCAAGCGAGAAGCATTAATCATGAGTGAGAGAAATGTGTTTTTACTGGGTCCCAGTGGATGTTTACAGGACGGAGAGTGGACAAGGATCAGCCTTGTAAAAAAAAATAAAGAACCGCTGATTAGGTTAAAAGGAGAACTATGAGGTGAGTGCTTTACACTCATCCTCATAGTTCTAGCCGACCTGTGACAATGAGACTGTCACACGTCGGCTCAGTAGATCGGGAAGGGAGCGAACACATACCGGCGCTCGCTCACTTCTCGATCCTGTCCCTGCAGAGAGCCGTGACTGTCACTCACGGCTCAAAGCAGGGATTCCCCCCCTCCCCTGTCCGATCCTCCAGTGCTGACTGGCGAACAGACGGGGGGCAGGCACAGCTGGCTCTGCCTCTAGATAGGCAGAGCCAGCTGTCAATCACGCAGCTGGGTGGATTTCGACAGTAAAGTTGGGATCCATCCCGGCTGTGGCGTCTCAGTATACCACGACCTGTAGCTTGCGGTATAATGAGCTTTGGGTGATGGGAGGACGTTCGTTTGCGTCCTCCCATTACCCTTAGGAGAACTAAGGGGAAAAACACTGACCCCATAGTTCTCCTTTAACTTCACTGTTATGCGCTGTTCTGATGTTTCCCATCTACGACCCCAGCGGACCTGAACTCAAAAAATGTAAACACATTTGTTATCTTATAGGGAACATCTAGAAATGTTAATAGTACCCAAAACAACCCTAAAATACATCTACATTTTGTATTGAATGCTCCCTGAAAAATTGTGCATGGAGCCTCATAGCTGTACATCTGCAGTGTGAGATTAATCTAAGGCACTGCTGCTCTGATTGCTAGCTTCACCAGACTTGGTGATGTCACTACAGAGTTGCTCACTGTTCTCCTTGCTGGAGAGGAAGCTGTACCTGAGAACCTGCAATGCAAGGATCTCTCTGCTTCTGCTCCTTCCATTCTGTTAACTTGTGCTTCCTCCACCTCTCCTGCTGCTTCTCGAGTACGCCCCCACCAGTCATCGGAGGGGCAGCTCCGACATAAGGAATCCCTGCTCCTCTACCAACATGGCCAAGGTAAGTCCGTAATGGCAGTAGATCTGCAGTGTGAATCTATGGTCTCTGATTTGGTGATGTCACTACTGTGTTGCTCACTGAGGACCTGCAGTGCAAGGATCGCTCTACTTCTTCTATTCTGTGGATTGGTGCTTGGTCCACCTCTTCTGCTGCTGCTTCTTGATTATCCCCCCACCAGTCATCAGAGGGGAAGTTCTGACATAAGGAATCAAAGCCCTGCTTCTCTACCAAGATGGTCAAACACCACACCGAGACACAGTGTAGCAGAAGGCAAGGTAAGTCAGTAAATCTGCAGTGTACATCTAAGGCCTCAGTCTTCTAGTCTCATGAGATTTGGTGGTGTCACCACTGTGCTGCTCATTGTTCTCCTTGCTGGAGAGGAAGCTGTACCTGAGGACCTGCAGTGCAAGGCTTTCCCCGCTTCTGCCATTCTGTGCATTTGTGCTTTCTTCACCTCTCCTGGTGCTTCTTTATTATTCCCTCAGCAGTCATCAGAGGGGCAGCTCTGATGTAAGGAAGCAAAGACCCGATTCTCTACCAAGATGAGCAGAAACCACACCGAGACACAGTGTAGCACAAGGCAAGGTATGTCAGTAATGGAAGTAGATCTGCAGTGTGAATCTAAGGCTTATGATTCCTAGTCTCATACGATTTTAGGATGTCACTACTGTGCTGCTCACTGTTCTCCTTGCTGGAGAGGAAGCTGTACCTGGGGACCTGCAGTGCAAGAATCTGCTTTGCTTATTCTGTGGCTCCGCACTTATCTGTAACTCTCCCACTGTTGTTTTCTATTATTACGCCATCAATCATTAGATCGATCACCAGTCATCAGAGGGAAGCTCTGACATGAAGAAGCAAAGCCCTGCACCTCTTCCAAAATGGCTGCCTTCATACAGACACACAGTGCAGGATACGACATGGTAAGTGCATATCGGGAAATGGTTTAGCTGCTGGGAGACCACAGGCAGTACTGGTGTCACTAGTCCTTTGCCCTTTATTTCCATTTTTAAGGGGAAACAGCTTCCACCACTCAAGTCCTCTTTAAAGTATATCTAAAGCCAAAAATGTTCTTCCATTGTAGGCAGAGCAAGAAAGGGTTCAAACCCGCACCATGCAGACATAACAGGAAGTGAGAGGAAACCTTACCAAGGCAAAAGGAAAATTCCCTCTTAGACAGTTGTGACCGGAACAAGTGTCCCCATTGAAGGACTTTATCTGTATTCCTGTTCTGGTGACAACTCAACATTCTGGACTTCTTCCCCTTAGTCCCACTGACATTGGTCACCAGTACCGCAAAGGGTGCAGACAGAAAAAAGGGCGGAGATAGCAAAAGACAAAACAAAGAAAAAGAAACCTGACATGGGCTCTAACCCCTCATTGCTCTATCCCAAACTTTAAAAAAAACAAATACAAAAACTTTAGCTCTAGAAACACATTAAAAATGATCTGCAAACAGACAAAAACACCAGCTAATGTACTTATATATTAATTAACCGTGTCATGTCCATAGGTCATTGAAGTCTAGATGCCTAAACCACAGGCGAGTGCTCCCAGTTTACAGCTAGTGAAAGTACCTGCATTTGTCTTGATATTGGCATCCTCTAACCCCCTGTATAGCAACATTCAGGCAGAAATAGAGAGGGAGGGGTAGCAATAGTAGCCAATCAGGCTTTGCTACAGTGCACGAGTGCGGGCAGTGAAAATGCTGATGCAGAGTAAGCAATGGGATGACCTTATCCATTTTCTCCTTTAATGTCCAATAGGCATGCAGCGGGTGTGTTCTTTGCAGCTGCAATGGTGATCGAGGATAAGGAGCCACAGCATGCCAGTGACAACCTTCATATTTCTCTTTAGTTTCTTTTAACATAGATTTAACCCTTGCCCCTCACCGGTCCAGAGCTCCACTGGTCGGCATGCTCCTCGCCAGCCCTCGCACACCCGTCTGCTGGAAGTAGGGGATGCTGAAAATATTGGCTGCGATTACAGCCACGGAGTCCGAAGGATTGACGAAAAATCCATTCTTCCCAAGAACCATGTTGCGGTCCTGACAAAAGCAAAGAGAAGCAACATTTCAAAGAAACATTTATTGCAGCAAACCCGAAATTCACGGATCACTTAAAATAAATAAATCACAATTTATAAAGAGTGTCATAGATACACTGTAGGTGTCTCCGAGTAGTGCAGCAAACTTTCTAACACAAAGATCATATACACTGATCAGCCATAACATTATGACCACCAGCCTAATATTGAGTTGGTTCCCCTTCTGACCCGTCCAGGCATGGCCTCCCCTAGACCTCTGAAGGTACGCTGTGGTACCTGGCACCAAGCCGTCAGTAGCAGATCCTTTAAGTCCTGTAAGTTGTGAGGTGATCGACCTCCATGGATCAGACTTGTTCTTCCAGCACATCCCACAGATGATGGATTGGATGGGGATCTGGAGAATTTAGGGAACAAGTCATCACCTCAAACTCGTGGTTGTGTTCCTCAAACCATTCTTCAGCCATTGTGTGCAGTGTAGCAGGGCGCATTATCCTGCTGAAAGAGGCCACTGCCATCAGGGAATACCGTTTCCATGAAGGAGTGTACAGTACTTGGTCAGTAACAATGTTTAGGTCGGTGGTACGTGTCCAAGTAACATCCACATGAATGGCAGGACCCGAGGTTTCCCAGCAGAACATTGCCCAAAGCATCACATACTGCCTCCACTGGCTCGTCTTCTTCCCATAATACATCCTGGTGACATCTCTTCCCCAGTTAAGTGACACACACGCACCCGGCCATCCATGATGTAACAAAAACCATGATTCATCAGACCAGGCCACCCTCTTCCATTGCTTCATGGTCCAGTTAAGATGCTCATGTGTCCATTGTAGGTGCTTTAGGTGGGGGGCAGAAGTCAGCATGGGCACCCTGACCTGTCTGTGGCTACTCAGCTCCATACGCAAATAATGATGATGCTCTGTGCGCTCAGACACCTTTCTATCAGAACCAGCATTGACTTTTTCAGAAATGTAAACTACAGTAGCTCTTCCATTGGATCGGACCACATGGGCCAGTCTTCACTCCCCATGTCCATCAGTGAGCCTTGGCCACCCATGACCCTGTCGCCGATACACTGGTTTTCCTTCCTTGGACCACTTTTGGTCGGTCCTGACCACTGCAGGCCGAGAACATCCCACAGGAGCTGCAGTTTTGGAGTTGCTCTGACCCTAGTCATCACAATTCGGCCCTTGTCAAAGTCGCTTACACTTGTCTATTTTTTCTGCTTCCAACACATCAACTTCAGGGAACTTCCAGGTGCCATTGTAACCAGATAATCAAGTGTCAATCATAATGCAATGGCTGATCGGTGTATATTGTTATTGATTCGATGATTCAAAACACCACATCCCCTTGATTTAGTACAAAAGTCCAAACAAAGGAGAACACAGGAGGAGGTGTTCTATTGTTCACAGAGAGAGCTGGAAACAATGTAACTGAAAAAAATACAGCACTGGCAGAGAGCACAGAAAGTCATCAGCTTACAAGATTTCTGGCAGGATCAGCAGGTAATTTTGCATCAGACATTGAAAAAAAAATGTAAATAGTGAATTTAAACACAGCAAAAAAGGAACAAATAGGAAAGGTTCATTGACAGGCTTTCCATAAACAAGCTGAACCCCGGCAAAAAAAAAAAAAAATTAAAAAAAAAAATACTCTTGCGGTGGGGCTACCCTTCCCCACTGCAAGGGCTAAATGCCCATTTCTGGCTACATTTACCGTAAATGTAATTTTACTTCCCTTATCCCTAACTCTTGCAGGACCTTCTGTACAAAGCAGGACCGGCAATCCTGCACTGTATGCGAGGGCGCCGAAGGCCCGTATCGGAGAGGAGAGAAGAGCGCCAGTCGAGTCAAGGTTAAGGTAAGTAATCTTCTCTTAAATGGTGCCCTAGACAGTAAAAGGAGCATTTAGCCCTTGCAGTGCAGAGGGAGCCCCACTGCAAGGGTAGTTTGGAGTTCGGCTTTAAGTAATGACAAATCTATCCCTAAAATAGGTGCATAATGGAAATTCCCTAATAAAAGTATCTAGCCCTATAGTACTGTGCACCTGACCTTACCCCATCCCCATCGAATGCCGCCCCAAAGTCGTGCTCTCCCGTCTTCATCGTGTCCACCAGCTCCGATGCATAGGTCAAGTTCGGGTCAGGGTGGTGACCCCCAAAATCCTCCAGGGGGATGCAATTTATAGCAGAGTTTGCCGGGGCGCCCAGCTCCTCGCACACGATCTTCTTCACATACGGCCCAACAACTGATTAAAGGAAACAGAAATGGAGTAAAACTTGTGCTGAAGTGGGACTCCACTCTTTGCATGGCCAATACTGAAGAAGGGTGAGAATCTCTGTTGTGTTTTGCGGCTGTGTGTCCCCCGCAGAGGAGATTTACCCTCACTTCCTGTCTCAGGGACTTGGGGACAGACTGTGAAGGGAAATCAGCAGCAGCAACAAAAAGTGGTAAAAGTTGAATCTCTTTCCCATTTGCTCACTGTAAAATGTGTCTGTAATTCCATTTTAAACATATTTCTTCAATATCTTACAATGCGTCTCACTGGAAGAACCGAGAAACATCACAGGTGACCACTGAACAGTTTTTTTTATGTTTGCACTAACTTTGGAAAATTGAGACTTTTTAAAAGGAAAAGGGAAAAAATGCAATATCTAAAATGCACCGCACATTGGGGACCCCAGTCCCCAATAATGTGCAAAGGTGTCAATATACAAGAATAACACAATACCCTCCAAATATATATAATAACAGTTGGAATAAAAAATTCTCTCTCTCTGAAAAACATCAATCCTGCGTATAAAGTTCCAGAAGACCTGAAAAATACCACATAGATGCTAGTTCATAAAGTGCTCCCCAATCCGTGCTGTTATATATATTTGGAGGCACAATCAGAACTTGCATGGCAGGGGTAGCCCCCTGCTGGGGTACATTTTTTGTTTGCCTGGAGTTCCTCTTAAAAAAAAGGTACCCACTGTACACCATAGATCACTTAAAATCCATTTGTATTACATAAACAGTCTCAAAACCAACAAAATGATGCCACGATATAATTGA